ACTATGTGACACCTTCTTATTCTGAAGTTGTTTTGTCCAGTAAAAGCATTAGCTTGTTCGAAACTTGCACATTCCCAAAAAAGACCTGGCGCTTGCCCAGCTCCTGGAAATATCCTCTAAGCCGTTGGAATATCCTGCTTGATAAAATTGTCTTTTGACTCGGGGCCTTGGGCCCTCCCATATCTAGGTCATGCTAAACAATAGGATTTATGATGAAGGATCACGTTCTATTAATTTGGCTTCTGAAAGGGTGGAAGACTGAGTAACTAACGTCAGCACCTGGGTGCTCTGTGCCTATATGACTCATCCCAATAAAAACATTGGATACCAAGACTCGGAGGAGCTTCCCTGGTTGGCAATATTCTGCACACGTTGTCACACATCATCGCTGGGAGAATTAAGTCCTGTCATTACAACTCCCCTGGGAGGAGTCAACTGGAAGCTTGCATCTGGTCTCCCCTGGATTATGTCCTATGTGCCTTTGCTTTTCTAGTTTTAATCTGCATCCTTCCATGTTTAAGAATCTGTTAAAAGGCACACAGAGCACCAACACATGGTTATATCTCGTAACCATGAATATAACAGCTTTTCTGAGTCATCCGAGAGGGTGAACTTAGGGACCACAACACAGCTGTGGTCATCAGTATATGTCAAGAATTAGTCTTCCGTTAGTAACAGCATTTAAATTCTGAGTGGGTAGAGTTGTAGGGGGTTTTGTGTTTTTTTGTTTTTTTAAGATTTTATGTACTTATTTTAGAGAGCATGAGCCTGGGTTTGAGGGTGGGGGTGGAGCAGAGGGAGAGGGTCCAGCAGGCTCTGTGCTCAGCGGGCGTCAGTCCACGACCCTGACATCACAACCTGAGCCAAAATCAAGAGTTGGATGCTTAACTGACTGAGCCACCCAGGAGCCCCTGTAGAGTTTTGTTAGGGGATAGTGTACATGGCTTTAAAAAAGAACCCCATGCTATTGTTACATGCTTTTCTTGCTTCCCTACCTCTGCCCACCATCACTATCCTAGAGTCTTAGTAAAGAGAATAATTTAAAAATAAAACTAAGGGAAGAGATTTCTTTAAAAATACAAATAGAAGGGGGCACCTGGGTGGCTCAGTCATTAAGCGTCTGCCTTCGGCTCAGGTCATGGTCCCGGGGTCCTGGGATCGAGCCCCGTATCGGGCTCCCTGCTCGGTGGGAAGCCTGCCTCTCCCTCTCCCACTCCCCCTGCTTGTGTTCCCTCTCTCGCTGTCTCTCTCTGTCAAATAAATAAAATCTTTAAAAAAAAAAAGTCCAAATAGAGGTATTAGGGATGAGGTAAGTAGGAATCACATAACTGTTTTGTTGCTCTGTGTGCCTTACAACAGATTCTTAAACACTTTCATTTTAAGACCCCTTTATTCCCTTAAATTATTGAAAACTGCAAAGAGATTTTGTATGTTTTATCTTCATAATTTAAAAAAAAATTAACTTGTTCTGCTGGGATCTACAGTAGTGTCCACTAATGTGAATGAATCCAGTAAAAAGTAGATTGAAAAGGTAACCAGCATAAGTAGAATGGTATCTATGGAAAAATCCACTCCAGCTTCAAAATACCTGGTAATGGACCTATTTCATGGGATTGTTTTATCCCACATTCTTGGGAACTCAGCAGTGACTTCTGGGTGAACCAGCTCTTCTTTTGGTAAATTTATAATGAAGGAAAGTAGCATCCAAACTAAGTAAACCGTAAGATGTATTTTGCTATTTTCTGTTGTTTTTGTGACACTTGCATGTTCTGAAGAAGTAACGTATCAAAAATCCTACATAATATGCTCATAACTCATTTTGAATACTGCATTCTTCCTATAAAAAGTACCCATCTTTATGCAGAATCACAGAATTTGGGGATATGTTTGCTGTTCCTCCAGGGATATGTTATAATACTGGACTTCAGGATAAGGGGAAACTGTAAAACCCTTACAGCAGTTTTACGTCAGATGGCTGTACTCTTGTATACGATAGAACATGAACAGCCGAGGTAAGTTTTCTTAACTGGTAGTTATATTGTTCTCCAGATGCTGCGGACATCCTACTTTTCTCACTTTCCTCAAATAAACTATGAGCTTTTTTTTTTTTAAACAGCAGGAGATGTCTTTATGTGTGGACACGCAGGATTTAACACGGTATCTGGTACACAGGACCAAACAGAGAGTAATTTTCACAGTGTTAAAGCTCATTTATTAGACTGTTGAGTTTGTTCTAAACATCTTTATAAGTATTTAAAACATGTAACAATCGTCGGAAGTAAGGAAGTAGTGAGAAAGCTCATTGGAATTGTTTTCTTCCAAGAGAGTTGTTCTGAAAGCTTAAGAAACCAGGACATTGAAATCTGTTCCATCATTGTTGCTGTGAATCACAGGTTGCCCCAGATCCTCCTTTATCTTAGCTGAACTTACACCTGTGGTCTTTCCTCAGCCACTTTGGTGGTTCTTAGGGTTAATGACATTAATGATTATTCTGGGTCTAAGTACCCACTTTCAGTACAGTAAGTCATTTACTCACTTTCACAATACCGTATTTACTCACCTCACAATACCAGGGGCAGAGTGGTCTTTGAGAAATCAGAAAAACACTACATATTATAAGATTAGTTCATTGTAAGATTAGTTCAAGGTCTGGTAACATTTCAGTATCTGGCTCACATTTTAGGCTACCTTTGTTAGGTCTTTTAAAAAATCAGTAGGAAGGTAAGATTGGTGACTTGAAGATGATTCAACTGGAAATGATACTGATAGTATAGAAAAGGAGCCAGTAAGCGCACAAGTTTTACACTGGCCTGAAATTTACAGGAGTTTTTGAAATGGGTATGAACAAATACCTCACTGGAGAGCAAAGAAAGGCAGTTCATTTTCAATAGGCCCATGAGGAGGTGGCAGCTGAGGGGACACGCACTTAATAAATGTCTATTTATTATGTATGGGTTATGGAATAACATGTCTTAGTTAATTATTTCAGTAATGAAAAGTGAGAGTTTGGAGAGGTTGTGAATGCCACGCTTGCATTGCCATGTTTGGGTTAAGGTAAAGCGGGTCAAGATATTTTTTTTTAAGATTTATTTATTTGAGAGGGGGGAGGGGCAGAGGGAGAAAGAAAATCTTCAAGCACACTCCCCACTCAGCGAGGAGCCCAGTGGGGCTCAATCCCACAACCCTGAGATCATGACCTGAGCCAAAATCAAGTCTGACACTTAACAGACTGAGCCACCCAGGCGCCCCAGGTCAAGCTATTTTTAAAAATCTGACTAGAAAGGGCTTAGCTCTAGGAATGAGTAAAGAAAAAAGAAATTGGCAAAAGAGGTAAGGAGTGAAGTTTTAACTACCATTGCTGTGATTAAGGAAATCTGGGCTTTGGCAGGCTAGATTGTTAGCAGTTTCTGTTAGCAACTGAAGAACTTGAGTGCTGAGTTGGCAGAAAACAGTGTTAACCAGAGAAGGAAACCTGCTTCTGAAGATACTGGGGACGTCAGAACGTGGCATCTCAGATTTTCTAAGTGCCCTTTTGAAGACTTCACTCATTATACAGATCAGGAAACTTAAACCCAGAGGAGTCAACACGTTCCTTTGTGTTCACTTGCTCTCAGATGAATATAGTTCCTCTTAAGGACATTTAACATTTTTGGAACAGGCAGCTGAGTCAAAGTGAATCGAAAGCTCTTGTGAGAAGAAACAAGTTAACAGCCTCCAACATGGGGCAATTAGCTGAGGCAAAAATTGGAATTGGGTGCTGAGCACCTCCTATGATCTATGTGGTAGTCAAAGCAAAGGTTCCGGGCAATGCCTAGGGCTCTGAAGGGCAGAACTGACAGAACAGAACTAGGAAGGTGAGGTCTGACAGGCAGTCTCACCCCAAGTTCAAAGCAGAGTGACAGTTCCAGCATGAAGGTTACTGACCAGCCTCCTTGTTTCTGAGGATCAGAAGGGACAGAATGAGGACAATTGAGGCTGCACTTACAGTGCCATGTGACAACCAATCTAAGAGCAATTTAAATCAAGTTTAACATCCTAAATAGGAGTGATCTGTGCCCCTTCAAATTATGTGTTTGTATGTGAGGTAAAATGGGCCACAAATGTCTCTTGAGGATGAGGTTGCTTTTTGGTCCCATCTGTTGCCCCCTGTAACTACTACAATGACACCAAAGATTAGATAAGTCTGAATATGGGTACTAGAATCTAACAGCAAGGAAAGTTCCCTCCCCAGAGTTCTTGGGATACTCAGATATTTCCTTAAATCAACTGAGGTTGGAGGCAAAGGAGGTAGAGACGTTGTCAGTAAGCAAGCCTTTTAAGTTCCAAACAGCTACCTGTTCAGGCTCAATAAATGAACTAGATTTCTGCCCAAAGTTCCGTATTTTCATTGCTGATGCCATTTGAGCTTTGGGCACTCTGACTCAGCAGCCACCCCCATACTCGCTTTCAGCTGGGGACCTTGGGCTTGCTCTCCCATTGGCATGATAACATTCCTTTCTCGTTCTTGCACTGGACCAATGACCAAATGTCATGAAATGAAGAGTATGCTTAACTCATGGCTCACCTTCAAGAGAAAATCTATGTGTACATGCTCTGTAGTCAAATTATATCAGATTTAACGTTGCGTTACTGATTGTATTTTGCCCCCTTTTACTGATTCTAACCTCATTTGCACACATTTTGAACACACCACTTTATGACTAGGAAGAAATCCCCTTTAAAATAAGGTGAAAGTTAGAATCTGAATTCAACTTCTCCACATCACAACCCCATACAAGGAATTTTATACCTCCCCACAGCCTAGTGTTTCTCATTTTAACACTAAAATATCTACTCTCCTCTGCATGAGTACATTGGAACGGAGGTCTAGGGATGTTCCTATCCTGCCTCCACTTCCTCACACTTGCTGCAGCTCAGGGCGCAGTACCCAATATTTCCTTTGCCTTACACCTGTCACATTTAGGAGGGGCAGCGGAGCGTGGGCGTCGGACTGTCAACTTCGCCTTATGTTCTAACAGCAATTGACCTTTCAAAGACTGCTGGGGGAAAACGCTCAAAGCCTCTTCCGGGATTTTCCAAGGACCCCGCCTTAACGAAGTGCAATTCCCAGTGGCTTGCAAGTTTCCAGCAGGGAGGATAAATCTGACCACCTAAGTCCAACTCTCTGACACTTCGGGAAATGTCCAGGAGTTAGGAAACGCATCGCCGTGGTCTCTCCAGCCTAGCTGGACTCGCCCCACAAAGAGCTCGGCACCAGCGGTTCCGGTGACCACGGGGAGCTCTCGGAGACCGCCGGGCCGCGCACCGTGTCGGGATTGGAAGACGCGCCCGCCGTTCCCTCCCGACCCCAGGCGGCGGAGCTGCTGCGGGAGACTGCGCGTGCGCGCTGGGCGGACGGTTCCGGAGACGGCGTTCTTAGCCGCCTTCCGTCTCCGGCGACAGCATGAAGACCGCGGAGGACGCCAGAGGAGCGCGCAGCGAGGGACCGCGGGAGATAGGCCTCTGCCTTCTCTGCGGCCTCCCGGCAGCAGGAAAATCGACCTTGGCGCGGGCCCTCAGCCACCGGCTACGGGAGGAGCGGGGCTGGGCCGTCGGCGTCGTCAACTATGATGACGTCATGCCGGACGCGTTCCTGGAGGAGGCGAGCGCGCGGCCATTGGTCAGTACGGAAGGGGCGGGGCCTAGACCCCGATTTTCGAAGGAAATGGAGGGGCTCCCACTAAATGCTGGGCTACACCCAGTGTGGGAGGTGCGTCCCTGACAGAGGGGGAGAGACCGGGATTCGAGAAGAGTGGAGTTGGTTTAATACTGAATATGTTGATTCCATCTTAAAGTAATTCATTGTAGAGATTTATATGTCTATTTGGGGCATGTATGTATTGTAGCTTCTATAGAGTGAGGCTTAAGACAGCGGTAGGTTTTGTCAGCGTGTAACATGGAAACCCCCCCACCATGGTCAGGAATGCTCCTGAAAAATCCTTTAGGAAGAATATTCCTAGGAAGGGGCGGAATCTCTTAAAAATTTCAACACAGCCAGTTTAGCATCAGCCATGGGCGAATCTTTGTGGATCTTTAAGTTTATACAATTTGCGGAAATTTTTTTAAGTAAAAGCATACAGAATTATAAATAACAAAATTCCTAGGGTCCCTCCCATGGTAATAGAGAGTGGCTGTACAAATGAAGGGCCTGGCCTCTGAAGCTCACTCTTCATTCATCTCAGGGTAAATCTTCCTCTGCCAGCATAGGAAAAGATGGTTGTTTCTTAGTTGATCCCCAGATGAAGTAATGGGCTTCTGTTTAGTGACCAGCTCGTATGTTGCAAGTACACACTTCCCTTTAAGCCTTCAAATCACACTCAGTGCAGCGAGATGCATCCCCGTGGAGAAGCGTGTGAGAACAGATCTCTGAGGGGAGAGTAGATTCATGTCACCCATCTCGTTCTCACTCTAGAGCAAATCCCCTTTGACATGACAGATTCTGAAAAATTAAAATACATTTGTCGTTTAATACCCTAGTGTAGATGGATGCACCTCAATAACATGCAAGTATGATGTGATTCCACTCTGTAAATACGTATGTACAAATACAGTACATTTGGTGGATGGAAACATTTTGGACTGCTCCAGCAAAATTATATATACTTTCTTATTCTTGTTTGATTGTGAGGTAAGTGCAGTATCAAGTCCCTGGTAGCACTAGATTTAGTTGGATGATAGTATTTTCACCACTTGAGTGAAAGCTGGAAGTTGTTGACAGGAATCATTATTTGCTGGGCTTTTTCCTCACTTTTATTATATTTTTTCCACTCCTCCCTACAGACGAAGGCCACGGGACTCACCTAGTCACCATGGGTAGGCAATCTCACCTTCTAGGAAGTGATCTTGTTTCCTTTTTAGTAGGTTTGGGTGATGTATTTGTTATATGTGTTGTAATCTCAGTGGTGGGGCAGGGCCTGGACGGGAGAGGAATCCTTATCTCGTGTTCCCATGTGTGCTCTCCAGCCTGGGCCTCGTAACTCTGTTCCTGTGGTCCACAGTGCTTGAGCAGCACAAGATTACCTGTATTCTCAAGTTACTTATTCTCTTCCCTTCAGTCTACCATCTCTGTCGTTCCCCATCCCATTTCAGCCCTGTTGTTAGCCCGAAGTCTTCTCCTCTTGACCCAGGCATCTTTCAGCTGATCCTTTCTGTCCACAACTTTTCTCATTTCAAGGGCAAACCAGCATAGGTATATCTAAGCCAGACTATTTTATTTCGGCAGGATATTGATTTTGGCTCATTTCTTCTGGAGGGTAACAGTGGACGGACGATTGATCTAGCAGAGAAATAGAGATGTGCAAACAAACGCCTACACCCTCTGCCAGAGCGGAGACCCGCCTTATGCAGAGCAAGATGTCAGTAGGCAGGGGAGGGTCTCAGCTGTCTCCTGCGTGGTTGAGTCTGAGGACACTTCAGAGGACTAACATCAGTGAGTAGGAGTTTCTGGGCAGAGAAAACCATATATACATGGAGATACGGAGGCATGACAGAAGCAGCTGTGCTCAGAGAATTCCAGATGGTTTAGCGCTGTGAGCTGAAATGGCCCTGTAGGGCGGGTGGCAATCAATCGTGACCACCCTACTGACCAGAGCCTAATGTAAATTGTTAATTCTTCCGTCTTTTGTAGCCATCCCAATGGAAATTGCTTCGACAGGAACTGTTGAAGTACCTAGAATACTTCTTGATGGCTGTCATTAATGGGTGTCAGATGTCTGCCCCACCCAACAGGACTGCAGCCCTGTGGGAGGATTTTATAAGGTGCTTAAAGGATCAAGATCTGATATCTTCTGCTGCGCTGGAGACCCAGTCTTGCTACCTCTTAACGAAGATTGCTGTTTCTAGACCTTTATTTTTGATCTTAGATGACAACTTTTATTATCAAAGTATGAGATACGAAGTCTACCAACTGGCTCGGAAATGTAATTCAAACATTTTTTTTTTCTTACACACAGACATTTGTTTGCATATCAAAATCACTACCGTTCTTAGAATTTAATTGGATCGGGAAGTTAGTATTGATTTACTTAATTCTCAAAGCTAGATGTTCAGCATTGCAAATGCTTTTTCCTGCTGCAGCCAGGATAATTTGTCTAATTTGTTTATGTCACATTTTGGAAAAAAACAGTGCACCAGTAATTCTGTGGTTTAACATTGTTTTCAGATTCATTAGGCTTTTGCCAGCTTTTTTTAGATTGTCCTCTCGAGACCTGTTTGCAGAGGAATGGCCAGAGATGCCGGGCACTGCCTGCCGAGACCATTCACCTGATGGCAAGAAAGATAGAGAAGCCCAACCCGGGGAAAAATGCTTGGGAACACAACAGCCTCACAATTCAGAGTACGCCGTGCTCTTCTGAGGCCAGGTATCCCACACAAAGCTGACCTTCACCGGGTGCCTCCCTGAGCCGGGCACAGTGCTCCTTGCTTGACTCATGTCCACTTGGTTAATACTTACACAAGCCTTAGAGAGAGATTGTTACCTTCCCTTTACGGAGAAGAGGCCACAGAGTGAGAAAGTTTGTTTGTCCAGAGCCCTCAAGCTTGTGGCGGTGGAGATGGTGTGCCCGCAAACGTGTACTCTCGTGAAGACTGTGTTGTCACGGAGATCCGCGCAGGGAATGCAGAGTGGGGTGCATCTTTGAAACTCGCTAAAGTAGCACAGTCTAAACAGGTTGCCCAGTAATTTTCTTCTAGAAAGAAAAAGGGTGGAAGTAGCCGAGTCGGAATTTTGCCTTCAACCTCCCTATTGTTACACGGCCGCATGTGTTGTGAGGCTTTTGGGCTGCTAATGCTTCCGTTCACGGTCTGTGTCTTGAGAGTTCTGCAGCAGCACATTTGTAATGGAATTTTCACGGATGACGGAAATGTTCTCTATCTGTTCTGTCCCGTGTAGCGGCTGCTGGCCACGTGACTGTTGAGCTCTTGCAACAGCCAGTGCCTCTGATGGCCTGAATTTTGAATTTTATTTTAATTGCTTTAAACTTAAATAGCCTCCTGTGGCTAGTGGTTATTGTATCATAGCAGAGTTCTAGAGCTGTCTTGCCTACATTTCCATAGCCCCTGCCTGGCCGTTGTTCACAGGGGGTCAGGAGTTTTTATTTTTTTATTTTTTTTAAAGACTTGAGAGAGAGAGAAAGAGCATGAGCAGTGGGAGCCGCAGGCAGAGGGAGAGGGAGAAGCAGACTCCCCACTGAGCAGGGGGCTCAACGGGGGCTCGATCCCAGGACCCTGGGATCATGACCTGAGCAGAAGGCAGATGCTTAGCGACTGAGCCACCCAGGCGCCCTGGATCAGCAAACGCTAATTTTTAAAGTTCATTCCTCAAAATGTTCGGTTCCCAACATACAGTTTTCCATCCATTTCATAATATATACTTGAATATACTAAAAAAAAAAAATGGATTTAAGGGACTGTTGTTTATTAGGGTTTATGAAATGAGCTACGGCTGAGGTTTCTAATTTTAACTTTTAATATCCTGAAACTTTGAGCAGGCCCGTAACCAGCTGATTGCTACTCATTCTGGAATACTTAAGATTTTTTCCTTTGGAAGTTGAATGGCTGGTTGAGGCATCGAGATATCTATCCCGTGAGAATGGCCTAATGTTATCAATGCTTTGAGACGAGTGAGGGCCAGTTCTTGCTAAAAGCGAGGAAGAGTGTTGAGTTTCTCCCATGCTGTTGCCAACACTTAGCATAATCTGTTTTGTCTTGGGTCTTCAGAACCTGGCCACCTGCTCTCACAGGTCCAAAATAGTTACAGCATCAGTGAAGGGGTTGTTTGAAACCTGGTGGCCCTGTATCGGAAGTTGAAAGATGATCTGACAAATGTACCTTCTCCAGGCTTCCGTAAGGTACTACTGTGTAACCACCACTACCGCTAATGGTGTTACTACTCAGAGCGACAGCAGATACTATGTATCGGGCATGTTCTGAACTCGTCATATGTTTAATCTCATTCAATCCTCACAAACAACTCTTGAGGATAAGTAGAATTATCCCCATTTTATAGATGCGGTAACTGGCCCAGTAAGTGGCAGACCCAAGGTTTGGACCCAGTGCAGTCTCACTCACTCCAGAACCTGGCTCTTTCCAGCATGAGAAGGATCATCTTGAGGTTGGGATTTAACTCACACTAGCCTAAATTGTTTCAGTGCCACGCTCTGCACTCTGAGTAGAATTCAAACTCCTCACCATAAATTACGTGTCCTAACCCCAGTTAACTTTGCAACCTCATATCCTACCTACTACTTTCCCCCGTTGCTGCTTGTCACCCAAACTGGCCTTTGTTCCGTGAACGGGAGGAGCTTGTTCTTGCCTCAGGGCCTTTGTACTTGCTGTCCCCTCTACCCTCCCCACTTATTTATGCTTGATTGACTTTCCTGACCATCCTAACTAATGTGAGGAGTGTTCATTGGACTCACCAGTCACTCTTTTAACACCATCACTTTGTTTATGGTCTTTACTCAAACACTTGTCACTATCTAAAATTATAATTTTTTGCTCAATTATTGAGACAGACAATGGAATCATTACCAGGCTTGGAGAGGATAGGGATTTCGCTGTACCCGCCCCCCGCCTCACATACATGGTTGTATATTTTTCATATAAGAAGATACTCAATAAAATCTTGTTAAATGAATGAATTCTGCCTCAGCCCTCCGTGGCCCCTTGACCAGTGAGTAACTTCGCTAACCTACATCCAGTAAACAAGCAGAAGCCAGAAAGTACAGACCAGGTATCCCTCTTTAGAGAATAAAATAGAGCTGTAGTAGCCTAAAGTTTAGCACTTAATGAGGGACAAGAGAGGATGTCTTTCGAAAGCTTATTGAAATGTTTTAGGAAATTAATATTTTTTTAAATAAGGGGATTCTTTTGCTTTATAATTTGTTTTGGGCTTCTACTTTTAGATTTTGCAAGTAGAAGGTAGCTTCCAAATCATTTCACTTTTCCACTTTGGCTTAGGATCTTGGGGTTATAGCACATTTATTCCTCTAGAATTCAATTTAGTATTCATGAACACCAGTTCTTTTAAAAAAAGATGTTTGATATAAGGATTTATTTTATCTCCCCTTCTCTCATAGCCTGAAGTTGACTGATTTATTGCTTACCGCTTTGGAAAATCCAGTAAAATATATTGAGGACAATGTGGAACAAAAGGTAAATCTTCCAGTATAGATTTAGTATACATGGGAAGGCACCGCTTTCTGAAGGAATGAATGTCTTTTTGAGCTGAGTGTCAACTCTGGGTAAAATGTGGAAAATGTTGTCACTGCCGTGGCGTCCCGGCAGCTCTCAGCTTCTGACTCCTGGCTGCGGTGGTGTGTCAGCTGGTCGCAGCCAGTTGTCAAACTCTCAGAAATGTTGGAGCCTGTCGCCATTATATTGGCGTTGGTAACTTGAAATGGGCAAGGACAGGAATACGTGCACCAGAGACATTGACAAACACTAGAAACAGGTTGTGTCGCTGTTGTTTCTGGAGAGCCTGTTGTTAGACATTTACCAGCAGCCACTATCTAGATGGGACCCATCTTCTAGGGAAGGACAGCCGGAACAGAAAAGCCATCTTCACCTTCCTTTCCGTCTTATCAAATACGTGTCACACTTTAGCCGTCCTTTTCTAAAACTTCCAATAACGATGTCTGTGTCACATAGGAAACAGACAGAATTATTTGTTCAACTAACGTTCTGCATCAAGCTGACCAGACGCTCCGAAGGATTGTCTCTCAGACGATGAAGGAAGCAAAAGGTATGTTGGGTAGTTGAATGGGGTTTAGCTGATACGACTTTGCTGCTATTCCTGTCTCCTTGACACTTTGGGTAGTTTATTAGATTTCAGTCCTAATGTTTACATCATGTTTTCAGTTTCAGTATGCAACTTGGTTATATAAAAACTAAAAATTCTACCCCTAGAACAGGGTATTCATCCATCCAATACATTTTTATTGAGTGGCAGCTCTGTACTAGGCTTTATTCTGAATACCGGGGCATCAGAAGGGAGTAGAATGTTATACTGAGCGGACAGACAGACAAGCACATGAGTATCTGCTGGTGCCCTGAAGAAAAATAAAGTAGGGAAAGGCAATGTAGAGTGCTGGGAGAGCTTCTTTTTAAAGGGTAGTCTGGAAGGCTTCTCAGCGATGACATTTAAGACGAGATATGAATGAACCAGAAAGAGCGAACGCGCAGTCATCTGATAGTAGATCGTTCCAGGCAGTGGCCACAAATGCAGAAACCCAGAAGTGAAGTTGTCTGGTAAGTTCTGGAGCAGAAAAGTGGCCATTGAGTCGGGTGAAGTAAGGAACGGGGAGAGGTGGTCAGGGGCCACATGTCAAATCGCCAAGCTCAGTGTGTTGTCTGTCTGAACTTGGAGTATGTGCTAGTTCTAGAAAATAACTCCTTCAGGTTTTAAATATTGAACTCCTTGCTTTATTTAAATTTTGATTTAAAAACTATCGTTAGCTTAACATTTCTTGAGCGTTTATGTGCTCAGTGTTGCCAGTCTTTACAGCCCCGTGAGGTGAGTGTAGTTTTACAGATAGGGACATGAAGGTTCTCGGAGGATCAAGTAACTTGCACAAGGCTGAACGGCTACTAGATGCTTGGACGGCCTGGGTTCAGAGTCAAGTCTGACTTCAGTGTGTGCTTTCTCTTAGGCCCCCCACATCACCAGCATTGATCATTAATACCTTTACAAAAGCTTAGAACTGTTGGGAAAGCAAACAGTACACTAACCATATGGTGTTTTTCATATGATCCATAAGCAGATTTTATCTTGTACGCTAGGGTGTAGCCCAGTACATGAACACATGCCTGTGTGGCAGCAGGTTTCACAAAACCCTCACATGTGTAGTGGGCTCTGCTATGTTCTATTTGATGTCATTTTAGAAAAACGCTGCTTGCAACTTGCATCTCACCGGTAGGTTACAGTCCAGAGTTGGAAAACCAAAGGCCTGGAACAAACGGCAGCATAATTAGAATAGAGACAGAGGTGGTTGCAGGAGTTCTCTCTCACCCATCTGCCTTTCTTACCTTCTATGTAAAATGAAGAGAAGGGCGGAGGGGGAATAGGGTTATGTCCAAATCACTCTTGACTCAGTTCCCACCCATTACAATACACATTTATTTATTTAGGTGAGGGAGGTGCTACTAGCTTCTAGATCCATACTTGAATGAAATGAGAAATTCCTTTCTCCTACCATCAAGAAAGTGGAAAGACAGCCCACATATCAGGAGAAAACACTTGCAGATCATAAGAGACTTGTATCCTAAAGAGGTAAAGGACTGGTACCACTCAGCAATAAAGACAATCCAATTTTAAAAATGGCCGAAGGGTCTGAAGAGACCTTTCTCCGTTTCAGTGGCCAAGCCATAAGAAAACTCACTTCTCAGTAGTCCTCAGGGAAATGCAAACCAAAACCACGAGATCCCACTGCACACCCACCAGGCCAGCCAGAATCAGTAAGTGCAAGTGGTGGTGAGGATGTGGAGAAATGCAAACCCTCATCCACGGCTGATGGGAATGGTGCAGCTGCTCTGGCAAACAGCCGAGCAGTTCCTCAAACAAGGGAACGGAGTTACCATGGGACCCAGCCATTCCACTCCTAAGTATCTGCTCAAGAGAATTGAGAACATAGGTTCGTATAAATATGTGTACACAAATACTTGTTGTCAGCATCATTCCTAGTAGCTAGGATGAACCTTGAAAACAGTATGCAAAGTGAAAGAAGCCATCGCAAAAAGCCGCATTGCTTGAGTCCCCCCCGTGAAATGCCCAGAAGGGGAAATCTAGAGCCCCGTTAGTACATTAGTCGTTGCTCAGGGATTTGGGGTGGGGTGGAGGCTGGGGTAGGAGGGTGGGAGCTAATGGACGCAGGTTTCTGAGACGATGAGATGTTCTCAAATGGACCGCGGGGATAGTTGCACATATCTGCAGGTATCCTGAATCGTAGTTTAAATGAATAAAGTGTATGGTATGCCAGTTTTCTGTAAAGCTGTTTAATAACAAAGCAGTTTTGTTTCAGTCACATTACCCACGTGGCTGGTGGCTGCTGAGTTGAGTAGGACAGAACATTTTCATCGTTGTAGGAGGTTATAGATTAGACAGCTGCTCTAGAGATTTATCACAGTTTCAAACCAAATTGTCATTTCCTAGTTCTGCTTTTTTGCCTTGCTCCCTGTTAGTTCAAGAAGATTCTAAATCAACTACCTTGTCAACAACAAAAATCCTTTTCAGGCTTATCGTTTATGCTCACGCATTTCATGGCCAGGTATTGAAAAGATTTGTTTGCTATCACATGAATGGGACCTTTGTTTCTATAGTACACCTACTCGACTGTGATTATTAACAGAATAATCTGATTGGTTTGTCTGAAGTATTCAAATTCATTTCCTGATGTTATCAGGCAGCCCAACTTGATTTAGTTTACACAATTTTGAGAGTATCTTTTCATTCTAGATGAACAAGTGCTTCCTTGCAACTTGAAGCTTCTAGCAGAAGAACTCAACAAGCTCAAAGCAGAGTTTTTGGAGGACCTAAGGCATGGAAACAAAAAATACCTGTGCTCTCAACAAACCATCCACATATCTGATGTTATTTCTTGTTTTCATTATGAGAAAGACAACATTGTCCAGAAATATTTTTCAAAGCCACATTAAAACTTCTGAACTTCCGATCAAATGTCTGATTTTGGCTAAGATTTTGCAAACTAAAACAATTTTGTGTTACTGGATGTTTTCTCGCCCAGTGGTGGGAATTGCCAAAGACTTATTCAAAAAAAGCAACAGTCCATTCTAAAGATCCATTTGTCATAACAGAAATAACTTCAGTCACTTGTCAGACATGACATGGATAATTAGGCATCAGAGGCAGGCCCGCGTCCTCATTTATGTGCCAAACCCTGAGGGTGGGGGTGGTGGGGGCAGGGGTCTTATTGAATGGCTCCTCAGGAAAGCAGAAAGACTAGGAAGGAGACAAGGTGTGGGTGCATGGAGCCGTTTTTGTCTTTAACTCATGTGACCGATCTTCTCATGGGTAAGGCATTCTACAGATTCAAACCAATGTAGCCATAAAACCTTTTTTTTTTTAATTTATTAACCGTTTACATACTGGAAAATTACTAAAAAATTGGATCCTAGTTTTGAAGAAGAAAAATCGAGATCAATAGAAAGTTATTTTTTTTTATTCATGTATTACAAAAGCAAAGCTTCATTCACAACAGGAACTACAGACTAGATATAGTTATTTCAGCATTGAACTTCTCTCTGGAATCCCTAAACAATATAGTGTTTTGCAACCATACTCAAGTTTTATGTTTTGCATACAAAATATGTTCTTTACATCAAAGCACATATTAACAAAAACAAGTTCTAGAAATCATATACCCTCTAAGACTATTTAATGAAAAAGTCCTTAGCAGGGAATTTTTTTTTTTTAAATAATACATCCACTTGATAAATATTTTTGTAGAACTTAAAATGAGGTTTATCCCAACATTTCTTAAGTAATATTCCCTTTGTCAAACAGTTCTGCAGATGAATGGCAAACACTTATTTCTAAAATGAAATAGCACTGGAAAATATTCAAAGTAAAAGTCTAGCCTTTACTTGAATTTCAAGAAGTTGTAGCTACATACTGTATTAGTAAAATCTGAAATGAAATTTTTCCCTGTTAATCTCTTCACAGTTTCTTAAAAAAATATTAGTGGAGATAAATTATCTACCAACTTTAAAAATCTAAACTTATGTTCACTGAACAAAAATACATTTAGTTTCAGAACATTGCCTGTTAACAGCAAAGTACTATAAATAGTTCATGTTCAACTTTTCCTAGCAGCTCATTTCTATAAAATATTTGATTAAAAATAAAATGGGAGAAACGTATTCAACACTTAATGGAAGATAGTATCATCTTTCCGTGTATAAAATTTAACTCAGAAAATTTAAATAAAATCCTAAATCTTTTTAAAAATACAATACTAAAAAAGTTTATAAGGTAGATTTGATTCAAAAACTTTAGTGCATTTAGAATTAGTTGTAGCTCTCAAGCATTGACACCTTTGGGATACCAACTGTGCTCTTTTAAGTCATAGGAAAATTAGAATTATACATTCTAGTTTAATTATGAAAAAAGATATTTTCTGTTTAAATTAAAATGTACCTTCAAAACATCTATCTTTAGTTGCCAGAAAAAAAGTGTCACTATTTGGCCCAGAATATAGAGTTAAGAAACTGGTTTTAACAAGAGGGTTCTCTCTCTTTAATGAAAGCTTTCATTTTCTATCTTGGGGTATTGCTTTTATGTGAAGAATAAAAGTGAGAAGGAAGAAAATAATTACAAAAGCTTCCAAATGACAGCAACCTGTTTGTTTCTGGCAATAAATAAATACTAGAGCCAAGTTCCACATTTGGAAATGGTTGCATTCAAGCTGATCTGAGCAATGAGTGATTTAAGCAACAAGAGAAACACAACTGTAGATTCAGAAGCCCCAGATTTGACAAGGGAGAGAGTTATTTATAGTTTTGACAGACTCTTTGCTGCTCTTTGAACAATGCTGTTGAGGTTAGTTTTGACTGGATATTAAACCACGAGAACTCATTTTAATGGCTTTCTAGCATTTGGAAAGAAGGGCAGAAGATCCATTAACTTGGCACGTGGGGGTTTTGGTGAACGCCTACTGTCAACATTTCCCTTTTTATTTGCTATAGAAGAGTGTAAGTCCTTTTTGCTTAATAAATGCTTCATAGTTAGGGTATTCTCTTTAAGAAGCCGATTAGCAACACTTCCAAGATTTGGACCAAATTAAAAATGAAACTTTTCCAAAGTACACAGAAACCAACAGTTAGTAACAATATATTTTATTGTTTGACCAAGCTCTCTTAGAGTAAGCTAGTTATTACACAATATAAAAACAATAGCCTCCTATTCAAAATTATTCTAGGTTTAGTAAGTCATATTTTTGTAAACAAATTATCACATTTAAATGCATTTTATATCTATTTTCCCACTTTTGTACCCTTTCCTACTAAGGCGACGATTCAATCAGTCTCTAGTTTTGTCACTATCCTTGAAAAACTGGCAGAACTGCAAATAAGCATTACAAGCTGAATTCACAGAAAATATTTTAAATGGCCAATTCTGAAGGGAAAACCAGAATTTGTTTTGGTGGACACACGTTCTCATTTTTTTAAGTATTACTTCACCATCCTATTTTCCCATGTGTTTCTATACCCACCTCTTCTTGGAAATTACAGGCAGTAAATGGATAGAAGGCAAGAAATGGAAACTTCAGAGATTTTTTTTTTTTCTTTTGAAGGACTGCATTTCCAAGGAATAAGGTAGATGACTACCACTGTACCTCTTTGGTCATCAAAGGAATAAGAGGAATAACAGATTCTCAGTATACTTGTCAACCTCACCTGACACTAATAATAATGTCAGAGTGAAGAATTTAAATGAAAGATGCAAATTAAAAAAAAAGGCATCTTTAGAGATAATCCTGATATTTCTAGCATTTCATGTGGTTTTTACAATAAACCAGAATAAAAAGAATCCAATGGAAAACTGACATATTTAAACTAGAAATTGAACAAACAGGTATTTTAAGTATTAAACCCATTTTTCAATGTAGGTTTCGATTTCTTTTCAGAACTTTTGCCTCATATTTTTATAACTTGAATTTAAAAAGAATGACCTGTTTTACATTTCCCCTTAAGGAAAAAAAAAAAAAAAAAAGAAGGATCTGCTACACTAAATAGCTCTGTGATTATCAGGTGAAATGAAAGTACTGTGAACATTCAGCAATGTGAATGAAACAGCACGTTGACAAAGAACAAGGTTAAAGGCAATTCCTCTACTAAACACTGAAATAAACTGTAATAGACTTTGTAAGAGACAGTAATTCTACCATGTTGAATATGGCAGAAGTAATATCTAGCTGAATGTATATGTTGAAATACAAGAGTATCAGTAAGCTCTGAAGTGTTTATGGACCGTAAGTATGGGAAATGTAAATGAATACCTGTTAGGATTATGATTGCACTCCAGTTCTCAACTAAGTGAAAGGAAAAAACAGACACCAACGTGTCTCACTGCTCTAATACATAAATGAGCCTGACCAGATTTTTATAGAAAAAAAAAAATTTTTTTTTTTGTTTCCACTGACAAACTTATATTCTATAAATATATAGACTTTAAATTAGCAGACACCTTATTAGGAATGACCCCCCCCCCGGAAAAAAAAAAACCCAATAAACAAAACTATAAAACACAAAAAGGTAAAACCAAGTAAAGCATAATGTGATTATTTTCAATCAGTGTTGGTTATGCTGTCCCCTTGCAAAATGACAAGCAAAATCATACTTGTTTTTACATTTGCAACCACATATGTTACACTGAAAAGGATTTTCATACCCATGACATCCCATATGAATAGTGTAAAGGATATTGTCGGCAAAGTACATATCACAGTGCTGGCAGTGGTGTAGAAGCTGCGGGTCCTGGACCGGGAGGGTCGGAGCTGGAGTGCTCGGCTGGCTGTTTCCTATGCTGGGAGTACTCGTGTGGGCACTTGGTTCACTGCTCGGACCTGCCACCGGACTATAGTTCCTCTGACTGTGTGACGGCCGAGGTTCCGGGCTCGTGGGAGAGGAGCTCTGAGGAATACTTGCTGACACGGCAGCAACCACTGCTTGGGCAGAGGACTGCTGCATCATGAAAGGCTTCTCGTCAGGGCAGGGAACTACATCAGGAGATGCAGGGTTTTGGTTTTCTGGTGGCAAACTAGACAACTGTCCTGCCAGGGTTGAGAGCTGATTTAAAGGGTTGTCAACCATGAGTTCTTGGGGGTCCCTTGGTAGGCCACCAGTTGATGTGGTTTTTGCCATACTTTCATAGGAGTCAGTCTGGATATTTGGGATTTCATGGGTAAAATCGTTAAGGTAGTCTGGCTTCTGAACCACCATGGAAGGTGGACTTAAATTGATTAATGCTCTTCTGCTATAGCCCAGATTGCTTGTTTTCTTCTGTAAAACTCCCCACATTTTCTTGCTGCTTAAGGAAGACCTAGTACCTTTAATTGGTACCATTTTATGCTTGCGCCTTCGATGATGGGACAGGTTACTTCGATCACTGCAGCGGAAGGAACATAATTCACATTTGTATGGTTTTTCTCCTGTATGGGAACGCATGTGGGCTTCCAGATGACGCTCATAAGCAGATGCAAATGGGCATAAGTGACATCTATGAGGTTTCTCACCTGTTTAAAAAGAAAAATGGGGGAGAAACTGCAAGAGTAGCTCATTTATGGAAAGTTTCATGTGTTGTCCATTCATTAGACTTAGAAACTGATCAGGTTTCTTTGCAAAGAAACCTGTCAACTTAAAGCCTTAACTCATCAGCAACAATCTGAGATCTATAGATATGTTCTATTAGTCAGTATACTGTAGAAATTGTTATGGCTTCAACTGGCATCTGGGGAAAGAGTAGCAAAACTGACAATAATATTCCCTACATAATAATGATTTTATCAAAAGTACACGTCAGTTATGTTTGAGCACATCTATACATGAACACTTCTTCAAACATATTCACACACAAATACCCCTTCCTCAGGGAAAAATACAAAAAAACTTTTCTAAAAAGTTATTCTATTAAATAGAAAGCTCAAAAGGGAAA